TAAGGAGAGTCCGAAGAGGGAGCCCAGACACACTTTTTTTTTTTGGGACATAGTAGAGAGAGAAGTGGCTGAAGTCCCTCTTCCCTGGCTGATGATCTGTGGGGGTTTTGCTCTGAAATTCAGGATTTTCAATGGGGTTTATCACCTGCACATGCACAGTGGAAACATCAGCAGCTCCATAAAGACAACTTGGCTTTAAAAAGTGTTAAAAGTTAAAGTTAAAAGTCTTGGGAGGTTCTGGTGTAGGTGTGTTTGTGACTGGAATAATAGGGAAGGGGCAGACAGCAGAGCAGGGCTGGTGTTGATAGAGCTGTCTTCTGGTAGAGTCAAGAGCTCACCTTCTGCTAATCTCCACATTTTATAATCTGCATTTAAAATGCAGAGTCTTCCCTCCTGCACTCAGAAAAGATTTAATGCCACTGAGCAGCAGCGAGGTATTCCAGTCCTAAAACTTCATTAATTTTACACAGCACGCTACAGAGCATTTCCCAGTTCATTACAAAGTATTACCATAAATAATTGAATCCAAACTAAGTGCAGTTGTGATGGGTTATCTTTGCCTTTTTATAATATTTGCTCATTTAGCTCCTGATTTGGAAAATTCCCCCCTTTGGAGAGGATCAGTTAATTGTTGGAAGGAATTAGGGAGGTTATAAATGTCTGGATCTAGTGGCTGTACATGGGTTTTTGTGCCTGGACAGGGTGTAATGGACAGTGCCCCATCTTTTAGCCTAAATGAGAGTGGGAAGAGGGGGGAAAAATTGCTAAAGGATGACAAAAAGAACGTAATCCATGCCTTAAAATAAGAGGAAGGACATAGATGAATCCAGTTCAGTGTTATCTGAAAAATACTTAAATGTGAGGAGACAAAGGTAAATCATAGAATGTTTTAGGGTGGAAAGGACACAACCCCTGGAGAAAGTTTTTTGGAGAGATTTGTAATCAGAAAACAAGGCAGAAGAAACAAGGGAGGTGCTTTGAGGAGTTAAGATTAATTAGGGATTAAGAAAGGTTTGCACGAGATTGTAAACCAAGCTGCACCTCTGGTGGAGGTGAGGCGGCTCCCTTGGAGAAAATCACTGTGAAGCAGAGGAATTCAGTGCCTGGGAAAGAGCAAGTGCCAGAATCAGGCTGTCAGGTGAGGGAGACAGGGGACTAGGAAAGGAGTTTGTGATCTGGTGGCAAAAAAGCACTGAAATTGTGTGCTGCAGTCGCTTGTGGGAAGTGATAGTCAAACACCAAGCAGGAGCTGAGAAATGCTCCCCATGTCTTTGCTCACAATCTAGGACAGCTTGGGCTTCAGCCCAGAAAGAGCCAGGAAAATTGGATGGAAGTCAGTAAGCAAAAAGTCATTAAGAATAGGGAGAGCAGGAGGTAAGAATCATTTAAACTCTCTCTCCAGCATGGCTGAGTTGTGAATTAAGGAGTGTCTGCTCACAGGATCCCAGAATTTGCAGGGCATGAGGGAAGAAGTGTCATTTGATGGCATTTTAACTAGCAAGGATAGGCTGGGAAACAAAAATCCGTACAGCAATTCCCTTATTAGATAGAGAAGGACAGAGAGAAAGACAACCTTGTCAGTTTTTCAGAAGTTGTCTGGATGACAAACACAAAAGAAAACGAGGCTTGGGAGGTTTTACCCCAGCTAACCCAGTGCCAACAGATGTTGGAAGCTAAAGAAATATCAAGGTTAGACATGAAATAAAATTCATAACCCAACAGGGCTGTCTGTGTGCTGGGGAGGTTGGGATGATCCTCTCTTCCAGGAATCTGGGGCTCTGCAGCTGAGTCACATCCCATCAAGGAACAATCCCTTCTCTTTCCAGCCAGGTTGTGCTCCTCGCAGTGCTGCTTTAATTGCAATTAAGGTGAATGCACTTCTGAGGTTGAAATGGGCCATTGCATGGTCCAGAGACTTCCCAAATATACCTAGGGCAGCACTGATGGACCAAACTCACGGAGCCAACATCCCTTTATCACTGCTGTGCCCAAGATCTGTTGAGGGTTGGACCGACCCAGCTAATGAAAAGCTGTGGAGGAGCCCAATGACAACTTTGAAGGTTGTGGCATTCACATTCTCTGAAAAAATTCCTTCGCCCAGAGTTTTTCTCCTGGGAAGCTGGAAGGCATCAAGAGAGGCCTCAGAGAAAAGGAAAACAATTCTTATCTCATTTGCTTCTCCTGTGCTTTGCTCCCATGTGGAATGTGTTTGGAGATTGTTTACCCACAGGTGATTGTTTCACTGGGTTCTGCTGTGAGTTGTTTTCACTCTTTGGCCAATCAGGGCCAAGCTGTGTCGGACTCTGGAGAGAGTCACCAGTTTTCATTATTATCTTTTTAGTATTCAGTAATGATCCTTTCTGCATTCTTTAATTATATAATACAGTATAGTAAAGTAGTAAATTAGCCTTCTGCTAAGATGGGGTTCTCCTCATCATTCCTCCCTGCCACAGGGATTGCCTGCACTTACAATAGAAGGTCACTTGGAAATTAGTGCAAAGTGCACGGGAGAAAGGAGAAGAGTCAGGGAGATCATGGAATCCTAGAGTGGACTGGATGGGAATGGGCCTTAAAGCTCATCTTGTTCCCAGGGACACCTTCCACTGTCCCAGGCTGCTCCAAGCCCTGTCCATCCTGGCCTTGGGCACTTCCAGGGATCCAGGGGCAGCCCCAGCTGCTCTGGGCACCCTGTGCCAGGGCCTGCCCACCTTCACAGGGAAGAATTTTTCCCAATATCCTATCTAACCCTGCCCTGGCAATGGGAAGCCATTCCCCCTTGCCCCATCATTCCTTGACCTGGGTGAGGAGATCCAGATCATCTCTTTTCTTGGCTGACCTTTCTCACCTTTCTCTGGGAGAGCAACCTTGAGGCACAGGGAGCTGCAGCTGTCTGGGACTGCTCCAGGTGATGCAGAGGGGACACTGAGGCTGCAAATCCCAGGGCAGCAGAAGCAGGAGGTGAGGGCACGGCTGGCACACCAGGCTTTACAATAAATGAGAACAATCCAGCTTTGGGCACTGGCTGCCTTTAGTCACAGGAGATGGCTCCTTCCTCAGCAGACACTATGACATTTTCAGTGCACTAAGCACTTTCTGCAGGACTGATCTCTAGCCATCTGAGCTCCTTGCTATTATCTAATAATTATCTGGATGTCTCTGCATAATCTGTCTGGTTTTAGAATGACTTTTTTTTTTTTTTTTCCTTTCCTTCCAGGAAGCTGCAATAAACCCATGAAATTTGATATTTCTGCTGTGACAAAGGCATGAAATGCATGAGCTTTGATCATGAATTGCATGGGCCCTCTGCTTACAGTGTGGCACTCCAGCCAGATGTCACAGGGCTTGTTTTAGCAACACAGAACTCAGTCCCCACTGCTATGGGAACGTTTCACCTGTTTCTGGAGTGCCTTGGGCTTTCTGCATGGGACACAGGCAGTGGAATTTGCAGAGGGAATCAAATGTTTTCCCAGCTGATCCCTTAAGAAGTGACGCTTATTTCTAGGGGAATTAATTCCTGGGATCTGCCCAGCACCTCTGCAAATTGGGATCCATGTGCCACAGCCCCCCAAGCAGCTCCAGCATTTTGCCCATGACATGTGAAGTGACTTTTACAATCAGGTCCTGGTCATGCTCCTTCTTCCAGGCTGTCTGCAGAGACTTGAGGAAGGAGCATGCAAAGGTCAGACCTATCCACGTCCCTGAGCCCCTGGGGCAGGCAGACAGCAGGGATATTCTAATGGATCAGGCAGTTATTTATTGCTCTGGAAGAAATAAATGTCTGTACACGTTGTGCCCAGCCCAGCAGTTGTGAGTGCTCTGCTGGCACAGACAGGAGCCGTGCTCTGAAAAGCCTGGGAGCTGGTTATTATTTCTGGTGAAAGCACCGTGTTCCAGCACTTGAAGGAAATCAATACCCCGACATATCCAGCCTCCTTCCCAGCCTGCTCCCACAGAGAACCCCAGGAATGTTCTAGAGAGCACAACAGAGCCTCCAAACCATCAGAGCTGACCCAAGAGCAGTGGGCTAGGCAGAGGCTGGAAATGGCTTCCACACACTCCCTGCTCCCCAGCTTTAAGACTACCCTGATGTTTTCATTTACTGGGGATTTCCAGCAACACTAAAGGGACCTTCATGCTGGCACATTGATGTCAGAGCTTGTAGGGTGTAAGGGGAAGATGTGTGCAGATGTCAGTAGGGCTTTTCTGCATGGTGCAGGGGGATGGAGCATTGTGTGGCTCTTGGGAGGATTGAGGATTTGCACACCAACCCCAGGAATGGTGAGGGTCCTGCTGGTAGAGACAATTACGGGAGGTTGTGGCCTCAGTGATAAGAGCAATTGCTTTAGGAACAGAGAACATTGCTTATCACAGAACCGCAGAATAGTCTGGGTTGGAAGGGGACATAAAACCCATCTCAATCCACCCCCTGCCATGGCAGGGACACCTTCCACCATCCCAGGCTGCTCCCAGCCCTGTCCAGCCTGGCCTTGGGCACTGCCAGGGATCCAGGGGCAGCCCCAGCTGCTCTGGGCACCCTGTGCCAGGGCCTCAGCACCCTCAAAGGGAAGAATGTCGTCCTCACATATGATCTAAATTTCTTCTCTTACAGTTTAAAAAACTTGTCCTATAACTATCTGCCTTTGCAATTAGTTGCTCTCCAACTTTTTAATAAGACTCATTAACCACTGGAAGGCCACATTGAGGCCTGGCCTTATGGACATGGCTGCTTTCAGACCTCCAGGAACTCTGCTGGCGGGACTGCTCCAGAAAGAAATGTGTCTAACCCTTCCATGGAATGGAAATAAATAAAAAAAGAAAAAAAAAAACCTATATTTTCATGTGCAGTGAAGAATTTATCCATGATTTTTAAGCTACCTGCTTCCATAGCATCACTTCAGTGAGTCTACAGAGATGAGGGAGCCTTGAGCTTCCCTGAGCACAGCTGGCCATACATTTCAGGGCAGCAGCGAGCTGCTGGGCACTGTCACAGCCCATGTGCTCTAGCAATGAGCTGCTTTGTCTACTGGCCTGCAGTGGTTGACCCCACACTCCCTGCTGGGGTAGTCGTTGTCCCACTCAGTGCTTCCTGGGGGGTTTGATGCACCAGGAGAACGGGGTCCAACACTGTTCTGAAACTCAGACGAAATATGGGAGAAGTCCTGCAGGGTGGAGAGGAAAAGGAGGGTTACAGGGGCATACAAAGCAGGAGAACCTCAGATTTAATGATAGTGCATAATCACATTTACAGGCATTGTCCCCAAAACCTGTCAGTTCAGAGCACAGGAGGAGCCCCAGGGACAGAGGGAGGTCCAAGCCCAGACATGGTGTCAATGCAGCAGGACATCTGACATCCCTTTTCCCTGCTCTTTTTGTCAGGACTCCCCTCCTTGGGGCTGGCAATGGCTGTACAGGGCACACAGCCACAAAAGCCTTTTGGTTTTTTGTAGTCTGGTCACCAAAGCAGTGTCCAGTGCAGGCCAACTCCTGTGCAGTGCTGAGTTCCCCACCCCAGTGCGCAGGAACAAGGGACAGCCACACAAGCAACACTGTCCCCATGAGCTGCCACCACTGCAGTTCTGCAAGGACACTGAGGGGCTGCTCCAGCTGAAAGCTGATCAGTTTTCCCCATTTTCTGGGGTTGGTTGAATTAAATTTATATCTATTAGGCAATGTATATAAACCAGATTCATGATAGTTACCTGGCAAAGAACATGATTTTTTTCCAAAATACCAAATTAGGGCAATGGGGGGGTATTTTTAAAATTTTTATATTTTATTCACAAACCACGTGGAATGAAGTTTCACAAAATGCTGCTCTCAGCAACAGCTCCCACCCCAATGAGTGAGTGTGAGGATCCCCTGTAATGCTCTCACCAAGTTACAGAAGCCACTTTGGCTGTGCAGAGCTAAAGCCAACCCCTGTGCAGGAGAAGTCAGGATCATTCAGGTTGCAGAAGGCCTCCAAGATCATCGAGTGCAGCCATTAACCCAGCACTGCCACCCCACCACTAAACCCTGTCCCCAAGTGCCACATCTACACATTTTTTGAATGCTTCCAGGAATGGGGATTCCACCACTTCTCTGGGCAGCTGTTCCACTGCCTGATAACCCTTTCAGCAAAGACATTTTGTTTAATTTTCAGTCTAAGCATTCTCTGGCACAACTTGAGGCCATTTCTTCTTGCGCTGTCCCTGTTCCCTGCGAGCACAGCCCAGCCTGGGGCTGTCCCCTCCTGTCAGGAGTTGTGCAGAGCCACAGGGTCCCCCCTGAGCCTCCTTTTCTCCAGGCTGAGCCCCTTCCCAGCTCCCTCAGCCCGTCCTGGTGCTCATTCCCTCCCTTGGTGACAACAGCCCAGCCCCAGCGAGCCCCGAGCACTGACCTGCTGGCCGGGAGGCGAGGCGTTCATGGGGGGCTGTACCTGTAGTGCCATGGGGGGGGACAGGAGGGGCTGCTGGGGGACCTGCTGCATGCTGAGGGGCTGGGGCAGCAGCGAGCTCTGCGGGTGGTGCAAGGACAGCTGCTGGTGGAGCGGGGGGCTGATCTGGAAGGAGGGCGGGGGGGAGGCACTGATGCTGGGCAGCAGGGGCTTGGAGGGCAGGGTCCGGGACAGCCCCGCGTGGGGGTGGCCACGGTAGCTCTGCAGCTCCGACGGGGACAGGAAGGAGCCCAGGCCGGGGTAGGGAGAGGATGCCTGCGGAGGCATGGGGTACATGGGCTGCTTGGGGGGGATCATCTTGGAGGGAGGGTTGCTCTGGGTGCTTTTCGTCTCCCCCTGGTCGGCAGAGCTCTGTGGGGAAACAGAGTGGGAGGTGGTGAGGAAGGGAAAGAGGAAACATCGATATGCATCCCGAGATATCCATCAGTGCAGATGAGCTCCCCATGGATCCTGCTGCTCTCCCACCTGCCAGCCCTGCAGCAGCTGGGTGCCCACAGCCTGGGTGCAGCATCCATAGCTGGAAAACTAAAGTCCAGTAACTCAACTGTGCCTTTGGCAGAGCCTGGAGCATCAGGGGGAATGAATCTGATGCTTCAGGTTTTAGTTTTTATGTTTTTCACATTTTGTGCTGCTTTAGTGTGCAATTCTGAACTTCATATGAGGGGATGGTGAGCTCTCTTCACAGAGTAGGGAGACAAAACAATTCCTGCTCTAGCTGGGGACCAAGGACAAATGATCCAAATCTCAGCCCCAAGAGCACAAACACCGTGCTCTGAAGAGAGAAAAACAAGCAGGATGGGAGTGCATGGGCTGCAGCTGGAATTGGACAATGAACTCCAATCTGCAAATGGAGCACAGCTGATCACAGTGAGAGACCCCGTGAGTGCTCGTGCATTTTGGGACCATTTTGGTTCATCTTGGGTGCAGCCCTGGCTGGGCTCTTGTGCTGCCCAAGGTGGATCCATGGAGGCCTTTTAATAAATCCCTGCTTTATTCTTTAGCCCTGTCCAGCCTCTGCTCTAGGTCAGCCTGCACAAGGCATCAAACCAGTGCAGAGGCAAACTGCCCACCAGCAGCTCACTGCTGTGGGTGGCTGACAAACCCCTCCTGCTTCCAGCAGAGTACAGATGGGTCTATAAACCCTCTGCTTTCCATCTTGTGCATCCCAGCAGCCCTGGTGGGTCTATAATGCATGGGACAGTCATGGCATCATTTTAGCTGGAAGGAGAGAAGGACAAGGGGAAATTTTCTGGACAATGAGGGTTTTATCCTGTGATGGGCCCTGTGATGATAGTCTTGATCCTTTCTCACTCAGAAGTCAGGACCACACTGTGCTGCTTTGCTCAAAACAAAGTTTTGCAGAAGAGCAATTGGAGAAATTGTGAAAAAACCAAAGCTATAGACCACATGCCTCCATGACTTCCACAGCTTCTACGACTCCTGGCCCACACTGCTGAGAGGCACGTTCAAGACAAGACCCTCAGAGGTTCCAGAGGAACCAACAAGAGTTTTAAATCTTCAACAAGCCCTTCCCATCCCCTTTCTCTGTCCTTGCTGCTGTTCTGTTCAGAAGTTGGCAGCTCCTGGTCTGCACAGAGGCTCTGAGCCTTTCCAGCTCACCATCACCACACGGATGCTGCAGGTGACAGGTGCTTTGGGAAATCACTTTATTTCCCAAGGCAGCTGAATGTGATAATTAGGCTCTGAGGATGTGGTGTAGTACCCACTCACTACCTAAGGGCAGCCTTACCCCTGAGCCAGGAAGATTTTGAGCTCCACAGGAGCCCCCCAAACTCCCAGGCAGCAAATGCTGTGTCCCCTCTCTGGAGTGGAGGAGGGCAAGCTGTGAGGTCCCTTGGGATGGGCATCCACATCCAGGAGACTGGGCCCAGCATTGCTCCCCAGCGTGGTCTTGCAGCACTGGGAGCTCCTGTCTGAGCCTGAAATGCCCTGACATTTCACTGTTAGGCACTGGAATGGGCTCTCTGGGGTTGGCCTGGCTGCAGTGTGGTAAGCACCCAAGTGCCCACGTCTCATCAACCCATAACTATGGGGTTTATAAACTCCATGAAACTCCCAAAAACTCCCTAAAACTCTCTAAAATTCTGGTCTAGGCTGAGCGTGCACAGGAGAAGCCACACCTGGGGTCCTGAGCAGGTGGGACAGCCCAAGTGCATGGAGCAGGGTGCAGCAGGGTGCTGGTACCAGTGAGCCCAGTGCTGGGTGTCACCTTCCCTGGGCCAGTCCCTGGTGCCACCTTGTCCTCCTGACCCCTTTGCTGCACTCACACCCCAAAAGCAGGCAAGGAACAGTGGGGACAAGCAGCAGGGACCCCTTCACCCCACACAGGGACACTGATGAAACCCCCCTGTGCTGAACCCATCCAAAGTGGGGTCTCACTGCAGGGCTCAAAAGGCAGATGACAGCCCAGCTCCTGCCCTTACCATGCCACAGAGCCCCTCTTTCAGCCCTTTGGGAAGGTGCTAATGCTGGTATCAGCTCTGATACCACAATTACACAGCATTTCTGATAAGTGTGCTCCCCCCTGGAGGCTCCTGTGGGTTGTAACCTGTCTGTGAGCATGGCTGTACCTTGGAGACGAGGCTGGCCCGGTACGCAGCCAGGGCTTTCAGGTACTCCTTCTTGGCAGCTTCTGTTTTCCTCTTGTATGCCTGAAAGGACCAAGGGATGGAAAATCATTAGGAGAGGGAACAGGGGGCTGCTGGGCTTGGCTGCACCCCACCTGCACAGTGGGAACCCCCTTCAGTGGGGCTGCGTGCATGAAAAGCTCAGTTCTGCTGCAGGGGAATTTACACCAAACCAAGAAAATGAAACCCCTGGATTGGACCCTGCTGGGAGTTTTGATCTGATCCCATGCTGGGACCTCTGGTCAGAGTGGTCTGTGTGTTTAGACAGGTATTTGTAAGAGATACAGTCTGATTTTATAAGGTGAACACAGTGAAATCCCTTTCCAACAGGAAGCAGAGTAAAGAGTGATCCAGGCTCTTGGAAGAGCAAGACAAAAGCCCAAATCCTCAAGTACAGGACTATCTTTAAAGTCCCTTCCAACTCAATCAATTCTATGATTCTGTGATGACGACCATTCTTTGATGATGACCAAAAACATGTGAGACAGTCAGAATTCCTAAATTATCCCTTTTTTTGTCTTAGTTTTACCAATATTAATCCTTTAGAGCTCAAAACCTGCAGTCTGGACAGCTGCGAACTGCTTTCTGATCTTACAAAAACTGAGATTTTTGCCTCATGTTATGACTTGGTGAGCTGGAGCTTGCAGGGAGGCAGCAAGTACCAGGAGAGTTCACTTCCCTAAGACAAAAATAAAAGATTTGGAAGAGGGAATTATGGTTTATTTTTCCATTTTTCCCTATAATGAGAGACGCTTCATGATCATGTCAGTGCTGGTCCCCTTCCTGCCTGGATCCTGGCTCTGCACATGGAGGTGAAGACCTTCAATAAATAATGTGAGATCCAGCCTGTCCCCAGCAGTGAGTCCCCATGGGATTACACAGAGCAGTATTTTAAAACTGAATAAAAATTTCAGGATAAAGGCAGGAACTCCCAGGGAAAATACCCACCAACCCTGTTCTCCACTGGAAACCCAAAGCCTTCCTCATTGATGCACTGAAAGTTGATTTCAATTAGAACAGATTTGCATGTGTTTAATTCAGCTTTTAAACCAACAACAGCTTTCAGCTGTTGAAACCCTGAAGCCTGGTGGGCACATGCTCTGTCCAGGATGATTTGGGTTGGATATTGGGAAAAATTTCTTCATGGAAAGGGTTGCCCAGCCCTGGAGCAGGTTGCCCAGGGAAGTGCTGGAGCCACCATTCCTGGAGGTGTATAAAAGACCTGTGGGTGTGGCACCTGGGGACATGGCAGTGCTGGGCTGACAGTTGGACAGGATGATTCTGAAGGTATTTTCCAACCAAAACAATCCCAAAAATCTATGATTTCGCTTATTTCCCCCGCAAATTCCCATGGCAGTGGCAGACTCCCTCCCAACAGTGACCTCTGAAGGGAGAGTAACCTTCCAGCAGTTGAAGTGAATGTGAGTTTAAAATCAGTACAGATAAATTCTATTAAAAATGGATTGAAAGCCTTATTTTCATTGCTAAATCACAGCGAGTCCTGTAATGAAACGTTTTGACTCGACACACTGGAGGTCTCAGACGGCAATTTTCTGAAATGGAGCATTTCTCTACGTTTGTCTTTGGCTTTATGGCATTCAGGAAATATTACATTTGCTCCATTCAGAACAAAATTACTTTTCAAAATGTCAGCCTGAAGAAGAGTTTGCCTGTGAAAAGTAACTATTTCTTCAAACAGTATCAGTTCCCTTAATAAAAGCTATTACCTTTCTCTACAATCTCCACATCTTTTATTATAGAATCAAAGAGTGGTTTGGGTTGGAAGGGACCTTAAAGCTCCTCCAGTTCCATCCCCCTGCCATGGGCAGGGACACCTTCCACTGGAACAGGTTTGTGCCCATCACAGCACCACAGAATTTATTGTGTTCAGCAGCAGAGCTGGTGGATGCTCTTAAATGTGGTACCTGATACCTTCGCAGCAATGAAATAGAAATTCCTGTATCTCAGTGTTTAAGAGTGGCCACAGCTGGATGCTGCTCTATGGAGAACATTTTAAATTATTTTTCCTCTATAACAGCAAAATATAAGAGTGATTTTACCTTTTTTTTTTTTTTCTTTTCTTTTTTTTTTTTTTTTTTCCCCTGGTATGGTGGGAAAACAAAATATTCAGAGCTATGCAGAGATAAATTCAATTATTGGCAAGACTTGCCTGGAGCAAACCCTGCAATTTCTGGACAGTGAGAGGACAGGTAAATGAGACTTCCTAAAACTAAATGCAAATAAATAAATAACCAATAAAGTCTGTGCCTGTCTTCATCCCCATCACTTGCTTTTTCTGCTAAATGCTTTTTTTCCCTGCCACTCTTCATCTGTTCTTGTCTCTTTTAGAGATCTCGTGTTGGGATGTGCTGCTGGCTGGGGTCTGGTGCCGGGCTGGGCAGGGGCAGCCAGTGGCTCATTCTGCTGAAGGGAGGGGGGATTGCTCAGCAGGAGCCTCTGTGCTCCCTGGGCCAGGGCTGCCAGGAAGGGCGGTGGGGTGAGCTCAGGGACTGTGCTCTCTGGTGTTTCTCTGGTGAGCTCGAAGTTCTGGAAGATTCCCAGTGGATTATCTGGGTTTTAATCATAGAATTCCAGAATGGTTTGGGTTGAAGGCACTGTTTTGATCCCCCCCTGCCATGGCAGGGACACCTTCCACCATCCCAGGTTGCTCCAAGCCCTGTCCAGCCTGGCCTTGGGCACTGCCAGGGATCCAGGGGCATCCACAGCTTCTCTGGGTGACCTGTGCCACCACCCTCATTGTAAGGAACCATCCCGAAGGGTCTCCTGTTGGGAATTTTGCAGTCCTGCCTTGCACCCACACAGGGCTCCATCAGGGACACTGACCTGCCTGTCCCCAGGGAATCACCACGCTGACGTGGGATCTGAACAAAGCTCCTCACAAATCCTCTGTGTAAAGGCAGCTCTAGTGCAGCATTTATAACCTTTAAAATTTTAATTTAAACATTGACAAAACCACGTACGTTCTAATTAAATCCCATTTTCTCCCAGGGATTTTAATTTTGAAGTAATTTATCAGATTTAAGGATCCTCAAAACATTTTGCATGTTTTTCTTCCTAACCTGCCATGCCCACTGATTTATTTTCCTTATTCATTAGCAAGAGGATTCATTAGTCATTAAGTGAGTGGGTGGGTTGGAGGGGGGGGGGGTAGGAAATAAAAATGGTTAGTGATTATGAAAACAAAAAAACCAGAGCTGTAAGAAGCATATGTTGGGATCGTAATCCTGACACCTCTGTGTCTCAGCAAAGCAGCCAGTAATTGTACCATAATGAAATGTTCTTGTTTGATAACAAGTTAATTAGAGAAGACAATTATTGCAAACCCCGCTGACGCCCACGAGCGGCTCCGTGTCGCGCAGGCACTGAGTGACAGCCGGAGCTGTTCTCCGTAACCTCTGCATCCCAGCCCTCCTGCTCCAGCAGGAATCCTGCTTCCCAAGCCTGGGAATGAGGGGAAGAGCTCAAACTCTCCCCCAAAAAATCGAGGGGTGCACTGACCTCAAGTGGGAGGGTCTGTGCTGCAATCCCAGGTGGAGTTTGGGGCGTTTTGCTTCACAAAAAAGGTGGAACCTCAGGAGAGGAGAGATGGGAAGTGCAGGAAAGGTCTCCAGGAGGAAAGCTGGGGGGGAAGACCAAGAGGAGCCACCACAATGTAGCAAAGGAGGCATGGGGTGATCCTTTGCATGTAGGAAAAAAGGGAAAATAGGCTTAAACTGCACCAAGGGAAATGTTGGGTAAGCACTGGGAAGCCTTGGGAGCAGTAAGGATAATTAAGCACGGGAAGACATTGCCTGGGGAGATGTGTAATCTCCACCACTGAGGGTTTAAGAACAGATTAGGAACACATCCATCAGGAATGGCTTAAGTAGAGATGATCCTGACTTCAGGCATCAGTATGGTCTAGTTGACCTCTTAAGTCTCTCCTTGCCCTTCTTTCTATGATTCCATGACTGGTTTTTTTCTTCTCCCACACGTGCAAATTTGGTTTTTATTCTGCTTGTAAGTCTGCAGGGTTTTTCTTGTAACTATTGTACACTTTCCTGCGAGATATGTATTGAGATCACTATCATTTATGGCTTATGCACAAGATGTCTCAAAGCATGTCCTCCCTGCCACATTCCCCTTTCTCTCCACACATCCTTACCACAGCCACTGGAAAGGTAAATAGGGAACATGGACAGATTGTCCTTATTCCTTCCCAGATCCTCCTTTCCTCTGTGCATCTCCCTCTGTATCCCCTTCTTGAGCCAGACTTATTCTGTCCCTCCCACCATTAAAACCAACTAACCCAAGCTACACTTCCAGAACAAAAGCTGTGGTCTGGATTGTAAGTCTTGAGGTCAACAACCCTGAGGACACCTCCAGGGAAGACCCTGCCTGTGGGAACTATGTGCATGGTTTTAGGACAGCTCCTGCTTTATCCTGGTGGAGACACAGTGCTGGGAAGCAATTCCTTTGGAGAAAGAATGGAAGAGCCTGCAATGAAGCAGGAATTGCCATTGGTTAAAGCACCCTGAGAGGTGCTCCTGCTCTCCACTGCCTTGACTTCATGGGGTGGTGTGGCATTCACATTCTCTGAAAAATCCCTTTGCCCAGGATTTTTCTCCTGGGAAGCTGAGAAGCCTCAGAGAAAAAGAAAAACAATTCTTATCTCATTTGCTTCTCCTCTGTTGTGCTCATGTGGAATGTGTTTGGGGATTGTTTCACTGGGTTCTGCTGTGAGTTGTTTTCACTCTTTGGCCAATCAGGGCCAAGCTGTGCCGGGACTCTGGAGAGAGTCACCAGTTTTCATTATTATCTTTTAGCATTCAGTAAGTATCCTTTCTGTATTCTTTAGTATAATATAGTATTCTTTAATGTAATATATTATCATAAAGTAATAAATTAGCCTTCTGAGAACACGGAGTCAAATTCATCATTCCTGCCTTCATCAGGACACCGCGCAAATACAATAGGGTGGAAGTCATCCTCGCTCCATGTGAGGGCACAAGCTTATTCCCAGG